TCCCTTTATACTTTTAAAAGTATTTAAATATAGCATGTATATTCATAAATCCAGTATTTGAAGTTTGCAGGAGTCTAATTTTGCTACTTATTGTTTGTCCTGACTCACTAAGGTGGGTATTTCCAAATGAGATTTGAAATTTTGGATTGTGGGTTCCTGTTGGCTGGGATTTATCTATAGAAAACCTGAAAACCACATTTGAGGGATTATTCTCTGCCAGATGCCTGGGGCCGATTAAAGTTGATTCTTAACTGTGTGAGACTACCCAAGTAGTGTGAATTTGAACCTTAGTTTCACTTGAGAGCAGAAGGTAGATTCTCAAAAGAGAGTTTTTTCTCTTTCAGAGGCCAACACTACAAAGGCAAGTGTTCTTTTTATTTTTCTTTCCTGATGGTGGATTTTTTTTTCTGGTTCTATCTGTTAACAGTGATAAAGAGACCTAGTTCTAACTGCTGATCTTTCTGAGTCCAGAGCCCCTGACTTCTGGTCCTTCAAGACAATGAAAACCATGGATCTAGTATCCAGGGAGCAGTAAATATGCTCAGGGCAACCACTACTTTGGACAATGAGAAAAACTAAGAGAATAATTTGAAAAATAGATAAGAATACCTTAAATCAATCATGAATTATTAATATAAATAAGTGACCTACTTAAGAGGGAGAGAAGGAAAGAGTGTGTGTGTGTGTGTGTGTGTGTGTGTGTGCGCGCGCGTATTTGGGAAATACTTTTAATAAGAAGTTCTTCCTTTCTTTCTTGTGGTAAGAAGAATTACCTAGACAATACTTTTTGTATTCACCCGATGACACTCAAAAGATTCAGAGACTTAAAAATATTGTTTTCAAGGTCAAATCAAATTGGAGGCAATGATTCTTTATTCCATTTATAAGACCTAGGTAACTTGTCTTGGTAAAGGTAGTACTAAAAATGCCTTTTCTTTTAGACAGGTAGTTAGAATACCATACAGAGCTCATTTTTGACTGTCAAAACCAAAATTATTTGCAAGCCATAGATACATACAACCTTGTAGGCTGACACCTCACTTAACTGTTAAATCACCTAAAAGATTATCTTGTCTTTCTTTTATATGAATTCAGGAGCACAAAGCTATTTAAAATTCTTTCTCTAGAGAAATTCTATTAGGAGTATTATATTTCTTTGGCAGTCCTAAAAAGAACCAGCCCAATATTTTAACATCATATTTTTTAAAGCTACTTTGGATTATTATTTAAAAAGTTAGATTGAAACCCAAGAAACAGAATATGCACTGGGATACAGCGTGAATTTTACCAGGGTTCTTCTATAGCTCTAAGTGTTCTTTCAAATCTGTCTGGTATCTAGGAAACCACTCTGTATTAGCATAGCAATATTCAAATATACAAGAGACTAGTAGGTAAAAACACAAATAGATTGTACTTTCCCCTACTACTGCCTGCATATTTGAATATGCAGAACACAAATAGTGTTTTTACATGTAAGTTTTAGAGTGTCCCAGAAGGACATAAGAGCAAAAGAGAAAAAAGTTTGATTGTACCATTAAAAATAGTCTGTAGTCACAGTGCAGTCGTTGGGAGAGGAAATTACTGAAGCGTAGTTCAGGTAATTTTAAAAAACTGATGCTAATAGATGACAGAGGCTGAACACATTCTGACTTATAAAATGAAAGAAAATAATGGACAAAGGAAGACAATAGCAATAAAAACTACCACTTACTGGGTTCTAACTATACATCGGAACTATATTCAGTGCTTTACTTAAATTAAAAACAGTCTCAACTACAAGAGAATCCACTTATCAAGTGTTTAATGTATGCCACTTTTATCTATAGAATAATTTTTTGAGTTAGGTATTGTTACTTGCCCAGTTGTGTAACTGAGGAAACTGACACAGAATTTCATCAACTTGTGCAGATCATGTAAGCTTGAAAATGTTAAGTAAGATACAAAAGCCAAGACAGGCTGGCTCCAGAGTGTATGCTGTATAACAATCTTTCAATTTTATTTTCATCTAACTACTAACCTTCATTTCAGCCCAGTTAGGGCAGGAGTCCCTAATCTCTGGGCCACGGACTGGTACTGGTCTGTGGCCTATTAGGAACTGGGCCACACAGCAGGAGGTAAGCAGCAAGGGAAGCTTTATCTGTACTAACAGCCACTCCCCATTGCTCCCATTACTGCCTGAGCCCCACCTCCTACCAAATCAGCCGTGTCATTAAATTCTTACAGGAGTGTGAACCCTATTGTGAACTGCGCATGTGAGGGATCTAGGTTGCATGCTCCTTATGAGACTCTTATACCTGATGATCTGTCACTATCTCCCATCACCCCCAGAGGGGACCATCTAGTTACAGGAAAACAAGCTCAGGACTCCCACTGATTCTACATTATAGTGAGTTGTATAATTAATTCATTATATATTACAATTTAAAAATAATATAAATAAAATGCATAATAAATGTAATGTGCTTGAATCGTGCCAAAACCTTCCCCCACCCACCCTGGTCCATGAAAAAAAAATGTCTTCCATGAAATCAGTCCCTACTGCCAAAAAGGATGGGGACTGCTAAGTTAGGGTATGTCTTCTCCCATTTTAAAGATGGGGAAATAGAGGTAGAAACTCTAAGTAACTTGCAAAAGATTACTTGTGAGTAATAGTATCAAGATCAAAACCGGTCTACTCTGTTTCCAGAACCTCTATACTTTCCACTCTATTATTCTGCCTTTATGACAGTATTTTTTATTCTTCAATTATTCATTCATTTGGTCATTCATTTAACAAATGTTTATTGAGTACTCTGTGCAGTCTGTTCTGGGCTCTGGGGATACTCTTATGAACAAAAAAGGCAAAGTTCCAAAGATTGCATTCCAGTGGAGGGAAATAAAAAATAAACAAATAAACCCATAAATGTATATCAAGTGTTAGCAGGCTCAATAAAGAAAAATAAAGCACTGTAAGCAGCTAGAAAATAATAGGATAAAGGCTATATTTAAATTTTTCAGATAAGATGGTCAGTGCAAGGAAACGTGTAACTGTCACTGGTCTTTTAGGATGCTGTTGCCTTCTATCACAAGTATCCTGGCTTACATGACGTTAAAACTCAATCTTGGTTTCATATCACTCTTCTGGTTTCTGGAAGAATATGCTTGATTTAAAACTCACCATGTCATTGCAGAAATAATTTTATGCTGGTTTTCCTTTGTAATTCTTGAATGGTTATTTGAAGAGACAAAATTGGTAATTGTTTTCTTTCTGAGCATTTATCCAAAATACCCAGCTTAATAAGGTGAACAAGCGTTTGGACTGATTTGGAGAGTATGCCTTGCCAACAATTAAGTAAAAGGATATTTTCTTTGTCATTAACATTTCATGTAGAATATTAGTTCTTAGAAGCAGTCTAATAATAAAAGCTGTAGTGATGTCAGGAACTAATTGACTGATTTTAATTGAAGAACATTTATATTACAGAGTATATGATGGTAAGATGTGTTCAACTTGTTTTTCACTTTTCTTTAAAAAGCTGAAAACTTTCTTCCCAATAGTAATTAAAAATAAACAGCAGTCATTAACTTACTGTGGGCTTCTAATAGCCACAATATTGCTTCCTTGCATGAATGATTTACTGATCTAAAGTAAAGTAATTCAACACTGAAATTATCTTGAAAATTAAAAACCATCCTAGGTAATGAATAGTTTCAGTTTCTGTAGCACCAATTTATGTTTAGTTTTTTTTAATGTATTCTTCTGCACATATACAACTTGCTAACTAATAAAAATAGTCTCAAAGGGACACCACCTCAAAGAACAGTATGTATGCCAAGCTCAGTTTCTGAACTCTGCAGGCTTGGAGGTGATATTTATGCTCTCCTTCATTCAGCCAACACTTACTGAGAAATGTCTTTAGGCCAGGCGTTTTCCTGAGCTTTTTAGGGGATAAAAGAAAAAAAATGCAGTCTCTGCCCCCAAAATAACTTCTTATTATGGGATTAGGTTAATATTTTATTGTAAGCCTGTCTCTTTCATTTAGTTGGTTGTATCATAATTTATTGAACCAATTCTGTGTTGTTGAATATTTAGGTAAATTATTATTATTTTTTGCTATAAAAAGTCTTGTTTGAACACCCCTTGTAGTGAATAAATGTGTCTGTATTTCTGATTTTATTTTTCAAATGGATTTCTACAAGTAGAATAACTAAGTCAAAAGACAACATTTTAGTATCTTAAAAATGTACCAAAAAGTTGCCTGAAATGGAAATACAGGGAAAAACATTATACTATTATACATTGCTACGAAAACTGTGTGAGATAGCCTTTTCTTAATCTATTTCCTTGCCAGCATTAAGAATATAGAATGTTTTGCAACATGTGTATCATTGATCTTTAGTCTTCACAATTGTTAAAAAATTTTCATTTTTAGGAATACTTTAGTGCTGGGTAAAAATTTTCAGTATTTGATTCAATATCTGATATTGATAGTTTTTATCTAATAAGAAGTTATCCAGATGATGTTCTTTCCTTTATTTCTTATGCTGAAATTTAGAGTATTAAGAGGTTATGAAAAGTGTTGTCCATTGGTTGAGAAGTTTGACTGCAAAAAATGAAGATTGTAGTTGTGCGTGAGTCTGTTGGAAAAGTTTAATATTAACTTAAAAGTAAATGTTAAAAAACCAAGTTAGATCTGTATTTTGTTGGGGTTTATTGGATTTCATAAATACATATTTAGAATATTGTGAATTATATTAAATAAAACACATTATATTTAGTGTCAATACATTTTTTCTAAGCACAAAATTCTTACCTATAGAAATATAAAAAGAAAAACAATACTGTGAATAGATTCAAAGGGCTCTAACCACATCTTCCTTAAAAATGAAATTATGGAGAAGCTTCATGGTTAACCTGTCTGTAACATCTATATAATATTTTTGCCATTCCTGAGTTTGTATGCTCAACAGTTTGATCTCTTTTCTATTCATATCTCAGTGGTTACACTGTTTATTTCCAGAACCATAGGACACAAAAACCGGTATGTCAAAGTCCCCCGTGGTCACATCTGGGTTGAAGGTGATCATCATGGACACAGTTTTGACAGTAATTCTTTTGGGCCGGTAAGTCATCTTTTATCTTCTTGTTGATATAATTGGATTTCAAAGGTGAGAACAAAAGTATGTCAGATAGGTTATTCAGGTAACTCAGCCAAGACTGATCATGAATTTTATAGTGGAATAGTTTATATTTGAAAATTTCCTTTTAAGTATCATAGATAAAGTACACTATCAGTGTGTACGTAGGTATGTGTGTGCACATGTGTTTCTTAGAAAAAAAACTCATACACTTCAAGAAAGTACTAAAAAATGCTTTTGGCCAACTACCTTATTCCAAATTGGAAGAACTTTTTTTCTCCCACGGGAATACTTTGTAGCTTATATTTTCAGTTGATGTTTAGGTCTTGTACACATTATGTAGGCATCAGTTTTCTAAATCATTAGTTTAAAATGCAAGTGTAATGGAAATCATATTAGTAAATGTACAGGAAGCAAATTTTACCTCTACCCTCTTAGGGTCCCGGCGGGGCCTGAGAATTAAATTGACATAAGACAGAGTCATAGGAGAAAAGCCAGCAAATTTAAGATAAGTTTTAGGTGGCACAGGAGCCCTCATAAAGAAATGAAGACCCAACAGGTGGAAAAACGTACATACTTTTATGTTAGATTGAACAAAGAGACATAATTGTGGAAAAGTAACTAAATTATGTGGTGAGGCTAAAGGAAGATAATTATTTTAACCCATTTTAACAAGGTCTGTTGGTACAGAACCCCCTCTGTGCCCCCTGCCATGACTTCCCATGAAATAATGTTTTTTTCTCCTGGTACAAGAAGGGCATCTTTCACATGAAAAATTGTGTCTCCTGCTTTCAGGAAGAAAAGGAAAAGATTAGAATGCCCTTCTTGCATCTGCTGTTTGTCAAGTGCCTTTAGCTTAAGTTATCCTCATGTCAAAGTGGCATATTTTGTAATGGCATAATCTGTCACCCTTTATAAGTAGAATGTTAGAATTATTGAGTTTATAGTAGACATGCAGACATTTCTTATTCCATGCTTGCACTCCATAAAATTGAGACTAAACTGGTATTTTGGGAGTTTTTTCATGTTGAATGTATACAGAAATTCTGTATTTATGAATTCCTGCAATAGCTCATAATATAAAGTGAAGAATCTTTTAGTTAACTGGCACTACACCTGCTTCTCATTATCTAGTGTGTTTAAAAGCTTGGATCTTCACTCATTAGATTTTCCTAAAGGTAAACATATCTGTACTTGTTAACATATATGTAAGTTGAGCATCCCTAATCTAAAAGTCTGAAATCGGAAATGCTCCAAAATTCTCATATTACTGAGCACCAATATGATACTCAAAGGAAATGTTCATTGGAGCATTTTGGATTTCAAATTTTGGGATTAGATATGCTCATCCAGTAAGTATAGTGCAAATCTCCAAAATAAAAAAAAAATCCAAAATTTGAAATACTTCTGGTTTCAAGTATTTTGGATAAGGGATATTCAACTTGTATGAGTTAATACTGAATACCTTTAGATATGTTTGTGAAAAACATTTTATCCATATAGTTTTTTCTAAAATTTAATGTTGGTGGTCTCTAATAAAACAATTTCTTTCACATAGTATGAGGGCACACTCCTGCTGTCACTAATGGAGCAGCCACTTTGACTCATCTTTGGCTGACAGTACAGTAATAGAGCTAGAGCTGGATAAACATATATGACTGTGTCATATATGTTTATCCTAAACATATCCTAAAGAAGATAACTTTAGGAAACTACTCCTACTTCTTTTTTTCTAGTTGCAATGATGATAATAAATACTACTAAGACCCTTTCTTGCCTTTGAATAGTAATTATTACAAAAATATAATATAATTTTTGTAAGGTATACTAAAGTGAAATAAACAGATTGGAAATGTTTTAGGTCACTTACAGTGTAGAAGTGACTCTTGTGACAAAATTTTGTAGCAACTCGCAAGTGAAAAAGATTACCTAAAAACCATTTTATGTCTCTCTCATCACAGATGTGATTGGGTATGAAATATTTCCATTATGTATGATGTCTCTATGAAATATCTTTATGCTAACCCTCTTGAGTTTATGATCATTGCACAATGATAGAAAATGTCCTATCGTCTCATGATACGGATTTGCCAATTTATGACTTTAGTTTGCATTTCCAGTGTGATAAATACCTTTCATAAGTTTACTTTAAAATTTTGATAATTGTCTGGAAGTGTTGTTCAGTGCATATTACTACTTGATTTTACTGGATTATATCATAAAGACTTGGTGATTCTAATGTGTTGCTTTATAATTGCTCAGAATATTATCTAAGCATTTCTTTCAGTAATTTCTTTCTCTGTGAAAGACATTAGTGTCTTTTCCTTTACGACACCTAGTTCTATGTAGATGAATACATTTTCTATTGTAGCCATGATGTTCTTCACCAGCACACAAAATAACTGATTATCATAGATAGTGACAAATTTTCTGCCTGCTTTAAAATGGAAGCACATAAAAAGTAAATTTTGTATTTGTATTTGTATGTATCTATAGCGGTGACATTTCTAATAGTGATTTTTAACTACTCTACATTGACAGACTCTTCAATTAAAAATGCATGCAGCGATTATTATAAATATTAGTAATTATATTTGAACTGTTCTCCTAGATAATATGTTCCATTTACTGAAAACACAAATGTGATTCTTTCCATGGCCTCCAGTTAGCTTGTACATTTTCCACTTTGAAGTTTTTCTATCATTTTCATCTAGGTTTAAACTGAGAGCAACCAAGAGACTTTCACTCTTTCCTGCATAGTGATTTGTGAAATTCTAGTATCTAAAAATAAACCTAAAGTAAATTATTTATATATTTAGCACCTAAAATATATAATTTATTTTAGCTACTTTGACCAAAGGACATTAGAAGAAAAACTTTTGGCTTATACATTTCAAGGGAAACATAACTTTTCTAAGATGTATAAATGTATTTTGATTTTTAGGTTTGTGATCATACTGTGACCTTGTGAACAATTTGTGTGCCGGGACTATGAAGCATAACTGAATAATTCAGATTCAGAAGCTATTTATGATAGAGTGCCTCTTTCTGAGAATGGAAACTTTGAGCTATACTAAATATGAGTTCTTTTTAGTTCTAAGTCATTTGGAAAAGAGCAAATTAAATCACTTATTTCATTGATACCTTATTAGATAAAATATTAGCCCCCAGAGTGTTTTGTGAAGGAAATATGCCTAATAGGAGATGATAGTTTTAGAAATAAATGAGCATTAGAACTATTATTTATTAATGAAATGAACTGTTGGTTTGAAAGTGATGATATATAGAATATTAAAATTCCATAGAATTCCTTTTGAAGTTTATGAAGTACAAAAATTTTTTCACTTTTTAAAAACTAGTGAAAAGTAAAGGAGAAAAAGTAAAGGTTATGTTTTTTGAAAAGTGTGGAAAATGAATATTAAAATTTATGAAGTGCAAAAAATTTTCCATTTTTTAAAAGCCAGTGAAAAGTAAAGGAGAAGAAGTAAAGTTTATGTTTTTATATCATGCAAAGCTTTTTATTTATGCCTTCAAGACACATTTTTGAGCACCTGCGGTTTGTCCACTTTGATTTAGGCTTGTGGATCCTGATGGGTGGGATGGCTCAGGAGAAACAAAAGTTACATTTAACCAGGCAGAGATTTTAGATTCTGTAATATATGTGGGAAATGGACATTTTAAGCAATTTAGTATCTAATCATACCTGTTTTGATTTTTTTCCCCTATATAATACTTCTTTGGTAAAAAACAAAACAATAGATTCTTGGAGTTGCAGGAAGGATGAAAGAATGGGACCTTTTCTTTTAAGAGCACTTGACAGCCGGGTGTGGTGGCTCATGCCTATAATCCCAGCACTTTGGGAGGCCGAGGCGGGTGGATCACCTGAGGTCAGGAGTTTGAGACCAGCCTGACCAACATGGTGAAACCCTGTCTCTACTAAAAATACAAAAATCAGCTGAGTGTGGTGGCACATGCCTGCAATCCTAGCTACTCGGGAGGCAGAGGTAGGAGAATCACTTGAACCTGGGAGGTGGAGGTTGCAGTGAGCTGAGATTGCACCATTGCACTCCAGCCTGGGCAACAAGAGAGAAACTCTGCCCCCCCAAAAAAAGAGGTTGGGGGAAGAGGAAGGGAGGGAGAGAGGGAGGGAGGGAGGCAGGCAAGAAGGAAGGAAGGAAGGAAGGAAGGAAGGAAGGAAGGAAGGAAGGAAGGAAGGAAAGCACTTGACAAAGAGGAATTGGGACTGAGTCTTGGGAAATGTTTAAAATAGTCAGAGATTATAAGGACAGAGATTCAGGTCATAGATGATAAAGAGTGGACTGAACCTGTGAGCCTTCTGAATTCTTTTGCCACTATCACTAAACATTAAAACATACCCTGATGCCCAGAAGGAGCAGGTAAGAGGATCAATAGATTCTACCAGTACTAAGGTATAATCCCCACTCTCAAGGAAGGATGGAAGGGAGGGAGAAAATCAGTCCTTCACAACACATTGTAACAAATACTCTAGATGGGGGTATGACAGGGCCTTTTAGAGAAGTAGAGCGTTTGTGTATGAAAACCCATGAAATCTCCCAGGAGGATGTGGTAGAACAGAGTGTTCTGAAATCAGTGAAAATAACTATTTGGTAAAAATCCTGCATTACATAAAGCACTCTAGATGCTATATGTTTTGTGAATGAAATAATTTATGCCTGGAGTGGTTAATGGGTTTTAGCTGCATTGAAAATATTCTGCCTATGCAATACAGAATAATCTTGTGATACACGAGAATGAATTTTCATTGCATTTATTTATTGTCGAATTGTAGCATTTTCCTTGTGTAACTTCTCTAGAGCAGCTAGAATAGCTTTTATTTAAAATCAGCCATTTCAAATTTAAAAAAGGTCATTAGACAGTGTTGACAGGATCCAAATGAAGTATTCTCTTCACACTTTCTTTGAAAAAATGGTGCTTAGGCTTTAATTGGTTATATTTTCTTGTGG